GGCCATCGAGTCGGACCTGACTCATAGCGACCCCTCCTTGGGTTTCCGAGGCAGTATCACTACAGAAGTAGATTGCCTAGCCTTCCTTCTGAGGAGTGGCTAGTGGGTTTGAACCGCCAGCTTTCTGGTTAGCAGTCAAATGCCTTCAGCACTACGCCACCTATCTGGTTACCCACAGATTAATATTTGTTATCACTGATAACAGTATTGTGTATGTAAAACAGTTTATCTTTGTTGTCTGTACCTCTTGTGCACCTCCTTGTGTCTTCATTTTCCTTGATGTTATTGTATTGCTCACTTGCTTTTGATATATTGTCTTTCCCTTTACCCAATTCGAGAGCTCTGGTAGCATAATGCCTAAGATATTTGCTAACCAGAAGACTGGTGGTTCAAACCCACCAGCCATGCCCCAGAAGGAAGGTTGGGCAATCTATTTCCGTAGTGATACCACCTCGGAAACCCGAGGAGGGGTCGCTACGAGTCGGGTCAGAATCAAAGGCAGTGCGTTGCCTTCATTACCCAAATCGATACTTGTCTCTACGTAAATAGCAGTGTTCCCTCCCCTCCCCTTCCTACCAACTCTTAATTATGTAGTGCTGCTATACCAGGAATCCCATGGGTGGGTGGCTCCAACAGACGGAAATTTATTTTCTTCTGGTTTAGGAGGCTAGAAGTCCAAATCCAGGGCACTGGCTCAGGGGACGCTTTCTCTCTGTGGGCTCTGGAGGAAGGTCCTTATCTCTTCAGCTCTGCTTCCTGGGTCCCTGGAGATCTCCATGTGGCTTGGCATCTGTGGTCCCCCATCTCTGCTTGCTTAGTCTGCTCCTTTGTAGATTGTAAGAGATTAACTGGACACTCCCTACTCTAATCCTGCCTCATTAACATAACAAAGACAAGCCATTACCACGTGGGAATATAGCCATAGGCATAGAGGTTAGGATTTACAACACATATTTTAGGGGGACATAGATCAATCCATAGGAGCTCTGGTGGCCTAGTGCCTAAGGCATCTGACTGTTAACCAGAAGGCTGGCGGTTCAAACCCATCAGTCACTCCTTGGAAGGAAGGTTGGGCAATCTACTTCCGTAGTGATACTGCCTCGGAAACCCAAGGAGGGGTCGCTATAAATTGGATCCTACTCAGCGGCAGTGCATTTTTTTTTAGATTAATCCATAACAGTGACCACATAGGACAGGGTAGAATTGCCAGGGTTTCCAAGGCTGAAACCTTTATGAAAGCAGACTGCCACATCTTTTTCCTATGGAGCTGCTGCTGGGTTTGAACCACCAACCTTTTGGTTACCAGCCAAGCACTTTCTTTAACCACTGTGCCACCAGGACTCCTTTCTCAGATCTCGAAACCCAAGAAATATTTCTGGTATGAACTCACTCCCGTGGGTTCCAGCCAAACAATAGACAGGTATATAAGATGAACATTTACACCAGGCAGGTACACTCTTAGAACCATCAATCATGAGAGAACAGAAGGGCAATGTTTGCACAGGGAGATAGCCCAGGGGGCAGGAATGCATAGGAAAGAAGGACACAGGGACAGGAAAACTACAGGGAAGAAGTGGGAAGAGAGCTGTTACGTTATGGGGATTGCTGTCAATGTCATGAAACCAAACGTGTATGGACTGCTGTATGGATGAATTTGCTCTGTAAACTTTCACCCAAATCACAATAGAAAAAAATTTCTGGTATAAACAATTCCAGGATGTGTGCTTGGAAGTATTATTTTGTGAACTGATGTTGGAAAAGACACAGTTACTGATATTGTACTTATTGTTGTTTTCAGATTGGCTTGCCAGTTGTAACAGCAGCACATTTTGCTGGTCCAGTATTGCTGTTTGTAATAAACAGAAAAGTCTATGCTTATGATTATCATGAAAATAAGTGGAATGTAGCTAAAGGTACTGTATTTTGTATAGCTGATTTTGCTTGAATGTAGCCAGGCTTTGGGGAGGACAAAATAGTAATTTTAGAAGGATGGTTCATATTCACACTTAAATTTTAGCACCTGGGTGCCTCCAGCTCCCCCAGGTTGCTGATGTTACCTTCACCTTTCAGGTCCAAATAAAATTGGCCTGGACTCATATCCCGTGGGGTAGGAACCTGGTGTTTCAGTTGAGGACTGTGGTGGTGAGCTGCAGAGACCCGCCTTGACTGATTGAAACCAGCAAGGGGCACCAGCCAGTCTTGGTGAAGGATTGGATGTTGGGGGAGGGGGTGCGGGGGGACCTGGCAGGAGTCAAGAATGCTTTCTAGGCTTGTGGTAGCCAAGCTGGGTGGTGGGACTATTCCGTCCTACATACATTACATTAAGGATGTTGTTGTTGTTGTTATGTGCTGTTGAGTCATACCCAACTCATAGCAACCCCTCCTTGGGTTTCCGAGGCGATACCACTATGGAAGTAGATTGTTCTGTCTTCCTTCCGAGGAGTGGCTGGTGGGTTTGAACGTCCAGCCTTCTGGTTACCAGTCAAGTGCCTTAGGCACTACGCCACCAGAGCTCCTAAGTACCAGCATACAGAGCTGTGTTGGTGCAGTGGTGGAATTCTCGCCTTCCATGTGGTAGACCTGGGTTTGAGTCCCAGACAGTGACCTTCACGTGAAGCTCCCACCTATCTG